CTGAGGTGGACACTGAAAAGGAGAGATGAGCAGCTATGGACATGTGCCGCCTGCTATGATTCTAGCTCTGGATCCAAGTAAATCCAAGTAAAGTAAAGGAAATCAAGATCAGAAGGGATGGAAGTAGTACTTGGGTATTCCACTTCCTATAATGTCTACTGCCAAGGCAAACATGTATCATGCACACTGCTTTTAAAATCGTCTGTTAGACGCAAAAAGGGCCATTGTCGACACAGTTGAGATACTGGAATATCTTTTTTAAGCACTACATATTGGTTTTTTTTTAGTAAGAGTTTTAGGGCACTTGTAACACAATTAGCTCATATATATAAGTGCCGACGATTAGAGGCGCTACAAGACAGTAACAAACACAAAAAGGAGGAGAGATCAGGACGATAGATGTTTGGTAGGAAAGAAGGAGCAAACCACACCAGAGCAAACTGGAACCACGGGTGCGTATTTTATTTTAATCTGAACTGATCTTTTATCATTTGTTTCTTCCTCCAGGAGCACCTCGTTCTTCCCACGACGATGCCCGCTGTGGACGTCCACTCACTGACAGGTCATGGCTCGACTGCCCCCTTACCCCTTACCCCTGACCCTTGACCCCCGACCCGCTCCGAATCCTGCTGACGTCACATCCTCTCTGCACCAGCTGCTCGTGGACGCGTACACCGGGAAGGACATCACTCGCCCCAGAGACCTCTACACCTTCCTCAGCATCGGACATATCCCAGACGTCCCCGCTTTCCCCAGGAAGTTGCTCCGCTCCCGATCCGTCCACGCCATCAGGCCCAAACGAGTGACATTTGAGAAAGAGGAAAGCTTCCACCGACGGAAAAGTCTCGGCGAAGACGCGAGCTCGTACGTGCACTTTGACCTGCAGCATAACCCTCCTCTGTTGCCCCTCCCCGCCATCAAAACTGACTTTCTTATTGACCCCGAGGAAAATAACGACCAAGACAATCCGGACAACGAAGCGGAAAAGGATGACGTCAGTGAATCTGACAGCATTCCCAAAATTCCTATCAGTTTATTAAGAGGCTACCATAAAGTAAACATTTCTACGACGTACATTTTCGCTCCCGATGAACGCCTAACGGAAACGGTAAAGTATAACCCTAAGGCTATACTTCCTCAAATCTCTCCGCGGAAAAAACCAAAACACCCTCGCAAAGATCAAAGGCAATGTAGCTCCAATCAGTCAAACTCCAGCTCAGTTCTTTCTCTAGAGATAGGCGGCACGAACCAGAGCAGCGCTGAGAGCTCTCCGAGGAAGAAGTACGAGATTGTGAACACCACCCCTCGACGACAGAGCAACAAATCCGTGGAGCCGATCTTCGGCGTCCGCCCAGAGTGTTTGTTTATTGAAAACCAGCTCGGGGACAAAAACCCGTTAGTGAGAGACCCGGCGAGGTCCAAAATGTCGCAGGAGATGCCGACAAAGAGTGGAGGGGCGGGGATGTTGCAGGACCTGAAGGACTACTCAGGGTACCCGGACATTTACTGGAAACTCCGCGCGGATACTGTGGCGCAGCCCAATGACCTTGAGGCAGACATGATTGACCGTGACCTCTACCGGCTGCGACAGATCTCCACTCTTAAACTCAACACTGTCGAGCGGACGTTTCAGGTTGGTCCAGATGCAACTGATATGTAATAATACACATTGTGTTTGTTTGTCGTCCTTCAACGGTGTGTGTGGCATCCTGATGAAATCAGACACTCGTCAAAGATAGTTAAATTTATGAACTGATATTTTCTCCGCATGTAGGATAGTTTTTTTATTTATCGACTTTTTTTTCAATTTTGCTCTAAGTTTTTTGTCTTTTTTCTTTCGTGAAACAGCTTTTATGTACACTTAAAGCCCATTCTGTGTGGAGTTTTTCAGGACAAGCGTTGACTAAAGGCATAAAAATGTAAATGATCAGTTTTCAAGGACACTCAAGCTTTGGAAGACACTAAAGTTTTGCAACTCGTTTCTCGCTAATTGTATCTCTAACACCACTGTGACCCTCACCTCCTTCAATAGCATTTAACACAAGTATATCAACTCCCATTCATGTTAGGCGGATATTTTTCCTCTCAAAAGCAAAGCAAATGATAAATCTTTACGGTTATACTAAGTGGCGTCGGTTGCCTAGTGGTTAGGCTACACGACTCGTAATCGTGAGATTGCGAGTTCGGGGGTTCGAGCCTCAGCTCGGTCCAACGTTGTGTCCTTGGAAAAGGCACTTTACACGAACTTCCCACTTAGCTCGGTCCTATCGGAGACGGACGTTGAACTAGGAGGTCCTGCCCCTTAAATAACCTAATAGTGTTGATAGGGGCGTTAAACCTATACCATTTCACCATTTCATCTTTACGGTTATACTAATAACTCCATATACCTAAAAATGGATGAGCGCCTGATTCCACAGTGCAGTGATACATTATCGTTTCGTCTCAACAGCCTCCAAAGAGAATAACTTGGTGTCAGCCTGGTTATAAACGGCTTTAGATAAGAAGAAAAAAACAATGAATGACTTACCTGCACTGAGAATAAGTGCACTCCATTCTTCCATAATCTTTTTCTTTTTCTTTTCTTCTTTTTTTCGTTTACAGAACACAACTTTGCTCTTACTGATTTACATAAGAAAAGTAGTGCAACACGTAACGTGTTGAAGCACTGTAAAGTGGTTCCGTGTTTTGGCAAGTTAATTTCATGTTTATCAATTCTCATTATAAGGTCATTGTAATTCGTTTTCACTCAATATTACGCTATTATGGGAATCAACAGTATTGTCTTGAATATTTTTAACACATTTGTAGGTTTGTTTGTGTGTTTATGTGAGTGTGTGAGTGAAAGAGAGTGTATAAGTGTGTGTAAGTGTGTGTAAAT